TTCCCACTCACATCTTCTGCACTAAGTGGCTCTTTCAAACTTTGTTCTTGTTTGTCCTCCTCTAAGGAAAACAAATATATAAACAAGCAGGCAAACAATTTCTTGACCTGACTAATTCTATTCCTCTTCCAGTCTCTTCTCCTCAATGCAAGTCCATTACAACTTCCCGACTGTGTGGAGTTCCCCTTCTCTTGCTTGGCATACATTTCTTACTGTCCTGTTATATTGAAACTATGTCTTCATGGGCCTACAAAATTCTTAAGGGCAGGGGATTGGCATTATCATGCTTTTTTCATCTTGACGTATGGTAGATTCTTAAGAAATATTTATTGAACTAAATTCATGGCTCTCCTTGGTGGAGCCAGCCTGCTCTTCCAGTAGATGAAATGGTGATTTCCTTAATGCAATTTGTGGAATATCTGGAGGACTTTTTCTATATCCAAGGATACCTGATAAAATGAAATATTCCATATGCTTTCATTAAGTCCTAAGACTAGTATGCTGTTTGTAAGCCTCGGGAGTGTAAGTCATAATCTTAGGAGGAAATAATTTAACCAGCTCTTTTTTACTAAAAATTAGATGTGATCATGTGTGCTAAGGAAAATGAAGTTTTGATTGCATGTGTGCACGCAGGGGTCTTTGAACTCCAGTGGGAATAAGAATCACTCGGGAACGTGTAAAAATGTAGATTCTCAGGTTTCGTATATATACACATTTTGATTCATTCAGACTGGTAAGTGGCTCAGGAATCTGTATTTTTAGAAAGCATCCCAATGATTATAACATAGCTGGTAGAAATCATACTCTGAGGAATATGTTTTCTTCTTTCTGAAGTAGAGAGTAAGAAGAAGGGATAATTTTGAACCACAGAGAAAACTGCCTTAGTCTGGACCTGAGAGGGATTTTATGTGCAGGGTAGAAAAGCAACAGAGCCTAAAAAGGAGAATGGGCCCCTGGGAGATGCTGAAACAGGGAATCAGGGGTGGCAGCAACGGAGAGTGTGGAGAGGCTTGGAAGGCCAATAATGAGGAGTTTGGTTTATTGCATAATTTTCCCTGGGGTTGGCCTTCCTTCTTCAACTAGAAAACTAATAGCAATATAAAAAATGAAATCTGATTATTAGGGTGTTTTCATCTT